GGGAAGCTTTTCTGCCGAAATCTCAACTCCTGCTGCCCGGGTGCTGTGGCCCAGCCCCGTGACTGGTTGCTCACCCGTGTGCCACATTCTGCCTCCACCACCTCTCTGTGACCTGCCCTGCCTCCGAAAACATCCTTGGTCATCATTTTTCTCTGAGCCAAACCCCACTCCTTCTTCAAGATCCCCTCCCCCAAAATGCTACCTCTCCATTTCCACAGTCAGAAATCGGAATTGTGAAAAATCTCATCACTCTTCTGCAGAACCAGCGAGACTCTTCTCCCGTACAGGTGTACAGGTCTCACCTTCTCTGACCTGTTAGACGTCAGAGTCCCTGTCTCATTCATTACTATGTTTCCCGCAAGACCAAACAAAGCACAAATGAATCTGTTTGTTGAATAAATGAATGAGCAAGTAGATACATAATAAACTACAAAAACTCTTCCTGTTTTGAACCAAGTCACAGCAGAAAGAATTTGAAGGACTCTTAGAACATCCGTAAAATGCATCTCTGATGAACAACTGAGATATGGAGAATTCCGGGAGAAATGTGTAGAGGCATCAGCTGTTTGGGAGGAGATGACGGTGGGAACAGCAAAGCAAGTTCAAAACCCCAGCTCTTCAGATTAATCGGTCAAAATGAAAACTAACGCACAGCGGAACAGAGCCCATCATACCTGACTGATTTAGAAGGAAAGTGATTTAGCAAGCAGTTCGGGGCTGGGACTCAATGTTCAGGCGGTGCGTTCACTTAAATGGAACAGAGATGGGGGCTATGCACTGAAGGACCACCGCAGTCACACACAGGAAGGGGTGGGCACATAGTGGAGAGGGGGACCAGCGGGCCCGGGGAGCTGAGTTCTCAAGAGCTGTCGAACCTGAGCACGTGGCTGGCAGAGCAGGCCATGTTTCCTGGAGGAGACTGAGAGAGTACAGCACACAGATTTGCTGAGAGGATTAAGCGTGCTAATCCATGCAAAGCTCAGTGTCTGGCACATTGTAATCACTATGGGGAGACTAGATGCTAGCTTGTGCTCTTCTGCAGAGCGACCCTCATCCTCTGGCCACAGGGCTCCCAGGTGCGGTTGGCAGAGTTGTCCACTGTGCTCTGCCTGTGGCCCTTACCTGCCTAATCCCCGTCCACCTCTTCCCTGGAGTATTAATTTGCTATCCAGAACAGAGGCACTGATGAATTCCTAAGCCCTAATTAATCTTTCTGTGCTAAGCCACATGAAGGCTTTAAAACCGGAAACCAGGGTTTTCCAACAGTGAATCAAAACCTCCTACTTAAATCCCTCGCACTCTTTTAACCTGATTATATAATTTTTAAAACCTGTTTACCACTGTTGAGTACCTGGCACCCTGTGCCAGACATCGTGCTATGTTCTCATTTCACTCCCTCACCAGTTCTGCGAGCGGAGGGCGAGGACACCGAGAAATGAAGGCACTTGTCCAAGACGAGCTCGTAACTGGCAGGATTCGAACCCATATGTGTCTACTCCAGAATTCTGCCGTGCCCCCTGTGATGGGACGCAAAACATATTTACAAAAGTAAATATAATAAGCGTTTCTCTTCAGTGTCTTATTTGCACATAAAAATTAAGCTAACTGGTTGTTTTCATAAATCTTAAAGGCAATTAGCCAAGCACTTATTTTTGATTAGAAAGAACCAGCATAATGAAAACAAATGGGTGGTACTGTCAGTGTTGAAGCTTTGTTAGCTAGGAGGCGTGTGGAGCATGAGAAACCAAGATAGAAATGGAAAATCAGTTCCACAATTTTAGAAGCATGATTCTTGGCTCTCTCTTTTTCTCTGGAATTATATAATACAGCAAGGAATAAATGACAAGCCGCCCTGTTGCCTCCAAGTGATCCTGTTTCTATTTATAAAGCCTCAGTGTTGGTTCAGGGCTTGGGGAATATTCTGAGGTGAAGCGAGCTCCAGAGGGGTGATACAGTGGATCTCCGGCTTCCTGCTGTAAGAGGTTCTGCACCCCTCAGCCGGCTTCAACTAGAGTAGCCCCCTGTTACCTCATAACCTGGGCTTTTTCATAAGCTTTTCTTTGAAAAAAAAGGCTTTTTTAATTTTTATTTTTTAAATTCCAGAGTAATTTTTAATTTACAAAATAAAACTTGGGTAGTAATGCAAAGGGTTCCCCTAGACCCCTCACTCCACTTCCCAAAAAAGAAGGTTTAAATGAGCGAACGTTGTTGCCTTTTTCTGTCCTGTGTATCTTGAGACAGACAGACTCTGTCTCAGGATTTACATGTGTTTTACGCTTGCAAGAAGGTCTTCAGTTGCTGGCACCAGAGCCAAGAGCGAAACAGCAAACTTGGAAACTGTGGGTTTATATCCTGCGCGTTTCCCCAGCAGGTGCCCTGGGCTGCCCTGTCCCCCTGCACAAGTTGTGTGCACCACATGATGCAGAGGGGCCCAGGCCCATCACTGTCTTTATTGCAATAATGTTCCTGCCCGGACGGTAAAAAGCGAGGCACAGGAGGCCCACTTTGAGCGATGCATTTTCTTCCGGCTGTCCAGTGCCTCCCCACCAATAGGCTGTGCCTGTCTTCCCTATGGTGTGTCCTTTGAAGTTCTTCCCTCCCAGCTTTTACGCAGAAAGCCAACTGCACAACATAAAGCTGTTGAGGAAGGAATGACTGCCAGACATTAAAGCTCCCAGAGGTGTTTGTATTTCGAAAGCTGCAGTTGCTAATCCAGAGAAACTCATGCATAGGGTAAAACTCGGAAGATGGCTTTACCAGGGAGCATTGCGTTCCTAGTGCCCTTTGTCTGCCCTGGGCCGGCGGCACCCCAGCTGGTAGCCACAGGCAAGGAGAGGGCTGGGCCCTGTTTTAGAAGACTGTCAAGCCCTGGGGCCCTTGCAGACTCAGTCAGGTGGGTTTGTGTCGTGTGCTGCAGAGGGACAGGAGGCTGGGAGCTGGATTCCTGCAGCACTGTTTCTTACCTCACTAGAAGCCTTCGCTGTACACTAATGCGTCCCGGAGCGTGTTGTGCCACTTGCTCTCTCCAACTTCCAGTTCCAGTTTGCTCCTTGGGAGCAAGGCCTGTGACTTCAGTGTTCTCCAGGGTTCCAGCCTTAGGCAGGCTCAGGGCGGTGGAGGATTGCTTAAGGTCACATGACTTGTTAGTGGCAGTACCAGGAATAGAGCGTCAGTTTCCTCGTCCCCTGTCCTGGCTGAGTGTTCTTCCCATCCTCCCACCAGAACAACAGCACTGTTGTTGCACATAGGTGTGAGGGTCAGGAATTCGGACAGGGCTCTGGTAAGCTGCACTTCTGCTCCACACACTGCTGACCCGGCCACTCACTTGGCTGCCTGTAGCTGGGTTGAACAGAAAGGCCCAGGAAAACTTCAAGCACTTGTTCAGAGGCCCCTGGGGCCTCTCCCTCCCTGCGTGTTCCCTCCTCTCTGTGTTTCCAGCCTGAACTTCTCCACAGCCTGACAGCTGTCGTCCTCTAGTGAAAGCAGAAGTCGGCCGGCCTCTTGAACTTGCCCTGCATTGGCACAGTTTGACTTCTGCAGCGTTCTCAGATTCAAGGCCAGTCCAGATTCAGCTGAAGGGGAGATCCATTCTCCCCCTGAATGAGTGGGGCAGCATGGATGTTGAGGAAGGGAAGAGAGGGATGGTGACCATCTATGTAGACTACCACAACCATAGTTAATCAGCAGATGTCATCTTCTGTGTCTTACTCCCTATAACACAGGCCAATTCAAGCCTATGCAAAAACACAGGAGAATGGCGAGCAGAACAATGTCCAGAAACACCCCATCCTTTTCCACCCTGATTTCCGGTCTGAAGAGTGAGGAGGGGGCAGCACCTGCCCTACCCATAATTCCTTGTGATCAGCCTTCAGCTGAGCTGCTTCCGGTGGCATTTGTCCTCAGACGAGGCTTGGAGAGGCTGCTGCACTTAGGATTTGTGAAAACATGGTCAGCGCGTGTGTGATCCGGCAGTGGACGTTGCACAACAAGGCGCCGTCTGCTGTGTCTGTTTTCTGCGTTGAACATTTCCACGCGTAGTCCCAAGAGCTGCTTCTTCAGGCAGCAGTTAAAAACTATGCTTCTCAGTGCCGCATCTACGTGTTGTTCAGACACTACACCTGCGAGTAACCTTTTCAACTACTAATTTCCCTGTGCAGGTCAACTTCTCACTCTTTTTCTTCCCTTCTTTTGAATGTCACAGAGGGTTGTGATGGGCACAGACAAGCTTGGAAGACTGGAAAACCAGTTGTCCCGCCTGGCCCCACCCTGGCAGCAGCCTGTCTGCCTGTTCTAGCTAACTCCATTTAAAATTTCCTAAATGATGAGGATTATTCTCTTGCTCTGAGAAAAATACCCATAATCATCTGCATTTGCCTGGGAAAGTTTTTGCATGTATTATGTTTTCCTCTAGAATAAAGACTTTTTACTTCTATGACTTGTCTTTTAGCACTTAATTGTTCAACCCAGAGTACCGTCTCCTAGAGACAAACAAATAACTGAACGCTCTAGTGCCGTAACCAGGGAGGAAACGTAAGAACAGCCGTTTATAGGCTGCTGGGCAAAACTTGTCTAAGTGCTTTGGGAGATCTCACATGCTAAGAGATTGTCATTGACCAGGAAATGATGAGATTTGTCTTATGTAAAAGGAAATTTTGGGTTTCCCAAATGTGTGTGAGAAACAAATGGCATGTTTTTGTACCAGCTGCCTAAGGAGGTAGAGGCCACTGAAATCCAGTTTACCCCCCTAAGTTTGTTACTCAGTCTTTATTGAAGATACTTGATGTTCGTCCACTATACAGGGTTGTACGTGTAAGCATCCACACATGGCCCAGAGCTCGGTGATGGACGTGATGGGCTTGTTTTGTTCATTTGCTCTTTGTTTTCTCTGGGTTTGGAAGGAGATTACGCCTTTTCAGAACAGCCCAGATCATTGGGAGGCCTGTGAGGATTTCCTTTTACTATATAAGAAAGTTTTTCTGTCTTGATTCCCTTCGTTTTAGGAAGAAGAATTAGAAGCGCAGATTTCCTTCCTTCAAGGACAGTTGAATGACCTGGAGGCCATGTGCAAATACTGTGCCAAGGTGATGGACACGCATCTTGGTGAGTGAGCTGAGCCGGCCCGGGGAACCGTGACAGGGGCAGCAGGAAGGGCTGTCTCTTAGCGTTTCTGTGGTGTCTGTGTGCGGGGCTGATGCCGCGTTCTTCACACACGGCATCTGGAATCCTCACAGAGGCCCTGTGGAGGAAGCACTACTGCTACCCGTGCTGTGCAGCTCAGGAGACCCCAGTGCAGAGATGCAGGAAGTGGCCCCAGCATTCAAAATCATGTCCCCAACTTAACACCACGAGTAAGTGGCGTGGAAATTCAACAGCAAGCAGTCTGACTGGTCGCCAGTCCCAGCCGCTCTACCTTTCGTAACGTCTGAGTACGGCACCCGAAATGAGACGCCGGGCTTTCAAGATAACAGTCGGGTGTTCCGCTGTGGCAGCCTGTCCGCAGTATGGTTGTGGTGGTTAGCTTGGTGATGCTGTCTTTATTTTTTAATTATTTTCTAACCACTCGCCACACACGTATGACCTTTCCTCCTGCCTGCGCCTACATTCTAAGAAGTTCAGTTTGCGTGGGTCGTCCGTAGCTTGTACCAGAAGGTCATCAGGCAGTGCTGTGCGTCCCTGAACGGTCTGTGTTTTGTGGGAGAGACAGTCTCTGCTGGGTCATGTGTGTATTGCTCCAGGGAGCCCATGCTACTTGCAGAATGTCGTGTCATGCCGAGTGTGGCTGTTCTTTAGCCCATTTATGGAATCCTTCCTTTCCCCACTGTCTGATGTCGAGCATCTGTAGCTTGGGAGCAGATTAGGAAAATATTGTAAGAAACCTGGGTGCATCCGAGCGGTGAGGCGAATCCAAGGAGAATCCAGGCCTCTTCCCGCTGGCAGGGCCCCGGGAGTGGCTCGGCTCTGGGCTCTTCCCTGGAGGTGAACCCTCCACCTTCAGACCTCCATAAGCAAGCTGTCAGCGCTAGGCACGGTTCAGGTGACCAAGATGTGTGATTTGCATGGAGCCAGGACCATACTGGCCTCACGCATGTTAATAAAGGTTCTGAAGGATTTGAGAGAGGCAGGTCGAAGCGCCTGGCTGGCTCCCTGAGGGACGTGCTGTGGGCAGCTGGCTGGGCCCAGTTCTGCCCTCAGCCTCATTTCTACTGTTTGAAGCACGCTGCGGGGGAGGGGCTCAAGAGGAAGGAGCAGCAGGGGAAAGCCTGGTGGGTGACAGTGGGTGGGCTGTCATCACAGCAGGAAACAGTGCCACCTTCATCTGACCCCACCCCTTTCCAAATGCTGTTCATTTGCTGCCTGATAAGCACTGGGCTTATGGGAGCTCCTGTTTCTCTACTAGCAGCAGCCTTTAAATGCACCAAAAAGAAGTAGTGGAGACACACTCTGCATGTAAATAGGATATTTCATATGACTGATGTTGGTTAAGCAAAGAAATAGCATTGTAATTTTAAACGGTATGTGTATTCTTTGCGCTTTTGACTACTTGGGTGACCTTTGCCTTACTTGATTTTGGCTTTGACCTAAGTAGGAGAACAAAGAAGTGATTGGGGGAAAGATTTACTGGAACTCTAGAAAAATCCTGTTAGGAAATTTCCAAGTTGTTTGGTACACACAGCAGCTTTCAAAGCAGCTTTACTTAAGCCTCAGAATGTGCAAACAGCTCTTGCTCTGATTCTGGTCTTTCAATCAGCACTCCAAGAGCATTTTCTCATTGCCTGGGAAGGGGAGACACTTTCATTAAAATGGAAAGAAAAGCCCACACCAGCTGTGAATTCTCAACTCGCCTCAAAACTAGTGTGTGTGTGTGTGTGTGTGTGTGCGTGCACACGTTTCACTTTCAGCCAGAATCCCTTCACAGGACCGACGACTTCTCCCTGTAAACAGCCTGGCTGGATTTCTCCAGGGGCTGAGGGATGCGGTGCAGAACCCCACGTGCGTTTCAGTTCATGTGTGTGATCACCAGTGGTTCGCTCAAAGGTGCTCCTGTGTTGCAGGCACTTTTAATTCTAAACAGGGACTTGAGGAAAACATAAAGATGAAGTGAAAGGGAACCTCTGATTTTGATTTATTTTACTTCCTTTACTAATGATTTTGCAGTCCAGCTGTCGTGTTCACGTGATGTTTTTCTGTTTCTGATTATTAAAGTACAACAAGATTGCAGCAATTGAAATATCCATTAGAAAAGGATTGACTGTAACATGATAGTGCTTTAACCTTTATAAAGATTAAAATTCTGCTTTATCCTCACCCAGGCTGTTCAGGACGGGTCATCCGATAGGAGAATCAGGCGGCAGAACAGTGTACATTTGATGTGAAGGTCCCCACTAACCCTGGTTGCCTGGGTGAAGGGACGATTCTGGAGGGACTTCCCAGGAAAACTCACCTTCCCTGCTTTGGAAAATGTCAAATATTCACAGAAAATCTGAAAGAGGGCAGCCAGGGAACATGTGAGCTGCTCATAGACAGAACAGGCAGGAGCCAACAGGCGGGCAGGGAAAGAAAGAGGGGAGGGGCATCCTCAGGGGCATCAGAGGACCCAGAGAGGAATCTAGGCTCTGTCACTTTAAAGTCTGCCTATGAATGTGTTCTCCCGTGTGAAGTGGAGATCCAGATATCTACCTTGCCAACTTGTGGTCAAATCTATTTGTAAGCCATGGCATAGGGCTTGGCCTAGAGTGGGGATTTAGCACAGGTCATCCCCTATCCCCTGACCTGTGTCTTCTCAGAAAAGAACCTAGGAGGCTCATCCCACCCGTGGCAACTCAGCTGAGTGCTGACCTGTCCAGGGCCCCACAACTAGTTAGTTGAAGAACCAAGACCAGTCCCATGCTCCCCCGCACCCAGCTGGATATTCCAAAAGATCTAAGCCATGCTGGAATTTGGGGCAGGGTGGCTCTAAGATAAGACACGTGAGCTCTTTGAGCTCTTAGGAACGGTCTTATCAGAACCCAGCGATGCATCCTTGCTGGCGACACGGGCCCAGCACGCACAGGGCCACAGGCTTCTGGGGGGAGGGGGGACTGTGAGAACTCACTGGGAGTTATTTCTCCTGATTCTCCCCTAATGTCAGTTATTTTCACTAAGTTCTGTTCATCTCCAGAGGACTCCTTATCATGTTTTCATCATGCAATGAATTCCTTAAAATATCAAGTACTGTTCAAGGCTGTTCTTATAACTAGTAGCAGAAGAAGTATACAGAGATGCTTCTCTGTTCTAAATTCCTTGGTGGCACCTGCTCCCGTAGCCCTTTAATTATTGAGGAGATAAAATTGACAGGCCAGTGCTACTTCTGCATGATTCCAGAACCCAAAACTGAAAGGGTATTTGTTTTGTCAAAACTACCAACATTCTAATTTTACTGCCTTCCTAGAACTGAACTGTTGAATTCAAGGATGTAGAGAGAGGAATTGCAAAGATGTGTTTGTTAAATCTCCCCTTTTCCTGTGAGCCTCAGAAGACTGTATTCTGTGTGTTCATTTCTCTGTTGCTGCCATCACTCCCCTTCTTTTCATGCTGACAGTTGAGTTGAAAGCCCTTGACAGTAGTAACCTGTGTGGCTGCCCTCGGGCTATTTTTAGATTCGCCACACTTCACACATAATCACACGTGGGTGAGCAGCTGGGCCGAGCTGCCGGCTGTTTACCGGGAGTGTACGTGCAGCTCACCCGCTGGGCGGGAGTGTAGTGCCCACACCCGCCTGCTGTCTCCATCGAGTCCTTTGGTATTAGCCTCTGGGTTCCAGCAGCTTCCCTTCTCCGTGGTGGTTCGTACACAAGGGAGGATCCAACGCAGTAAAGGTTTCCCAGGCGCACCGAGAGTACCATAGCTCACGGGATCTTGGAATGGTAAGGGTGTGAAAGCCTTGGGAGCCTCTCACCCATTCCGTATTTCACAAATGAGAAGGCCAAGGCCCAGGAGGGATGCGGAACCACCGGCCTGCGAGGACTCCGGCCCCGACCCCGTCCGTGGCGTCCCTGTCACGGGGGCTTCTGCTGAGGCCCCCCTTTACAGGCGTGGATTTCAGAGGCTCTGCTGTTTCACTGCGCGCATCACTGCTGATTCTGCACTTGTCATAATATTTACCTAAGAATTATCTACAAGAGGCCAGTTTTTAGAATCCGTCTATCTGCCACTGTAAGAATCTTATAAATCTGACTTTCTGGTATTTATAAAAAAAAAAACAGCTTTCAGTGAAATCTTTGGGAATGTTCAGTAAGGCAATTAAGTAGTGACATTTGAAGAAGTGAGAAGGAAAATAGGATCACCAGAGAGCTTCTCTCTCAATTACGCTGAGATCAAAACTTTGCATGATTCCTTTAAGCATTTTAAATAGTCTGTCTAATCGGGACTAGCAGGGTCCTCTGTAAAATGCAAAGGAGCGCTTCACCGGAGGATCCTGTTGGAATCGGAGGATTCTGAGTCGGCCTGACGTAGGGAGTGAGGGGTGGCACGAAGAGGCTCCCGGGTGAGCAGGTGTTACGGCCCGGGACAGACTTAGAGCACTCAGAATCATCTGGGTGTAATCAAATAAGTGTCCATAACTCTAGTAATAGAGTCCTAACCCCGCGCTTCAGGCGTGTGTGCACTTGAACTCTGCACAGGGAGCTCACCGCCTCCCTGGGCATTCTGCTGTAGCTATGGTCTTGTGAGACCCGGAGGGTTCGTTTTCTAACTAAAGTCTTTTCTTCCTGGTTTTGTTATCAAAAGACATGTAACAACTGGTCAGCATGTTCCCTGTTCCAACCCTAAGCATGTTTAGAAAAACCTAGCAAACCGCACAGAGCCTGTCTCCCCAAGGGCCAGCATGCCACCACTGGGACACCCTGGCCTCTGCACAGACTCTCCTCCTCCCTCATCTGCTTCTCCCGATTCCTCTCACTCTTCTGTAAGAGGGACCCAAATTGAACATCATTCCCTGTCTCTTTTTAAACATATGTAATATCTGGCCGGCGCCGCAGCTCACTAGGCTAATCCTCCGCCTTGCGGCGCCAGCACACCGGGTTCTAGTCCCGGTCAGGGCGCCGGATTCTGTCCCGGTTGCT